CGTTTTGGACGTCCTTCGTCGCGGCGCTGTGACGTATGCGGCCGACAAATTCGACCTTCGGAGGACCCGTCCTGCCGTTTTGGACACAGCCAACGTGTCCTTTTTTCCCAAACAAATTTAAAAAAAACAGAAAGAAAATGGAATTATTTTATGAAACAACTGTTCTTGTTGGTGATGGTCCGTTTTAGATAGAGGATTTGAAAGTGACTGGATAACAAAACACAAGGCTTGAAAAAAACTTGATAAAGTTGTAAAGTTTACACTTCTTACTTTTTACATTCTAAAATTATTAAAAATCATCTATTTATATGGTTGTTGATCTTGATGATAAGTGGTTTGTTCCAAATGACTGACCAAACAAGAAATGATTGAAGCAATAAATTAAGTTGCATTTCTATTTAACACAAATGTAATCTCAATAAAAGAACATGACTTCTAGTTCTAATTTCTCTTTATGGTTGATTCATTCTTCTATTTTTAGACAACTAGTCTGAACTAGTCTTAAACATGTTTCTAGATATCTCTGAACGCAGCAACTTGAGTACTTCCYATATAGAAATGAAGAATGGACTACTTTTCTAAAACCTCTAAAACGTGTGTCTCTTTCTCTGTATTGCAGTCATGAGGAGGAACCCTTTAATGGTGGATGAAAGCTTTAGGAAAGGCTCCCGCAACGCCCTCCAAGAGCTCTACAACCCCTCACAGGTAGGACAATAATATGCTCATCTCATCTCATCAATCTCATTGTGAATTCCTCAGCTGCAACAGTATGTTGCATGAACCCAGTGCTGAAGCAGAGTTGCCATCTCAGCCCCTCCAAAATATGGGACATTTCTGCCGACATTTAAGCCTGTTAGCCTTTGCGCTAGCGATGGCGCTTTATTGGTTTATACGTATTAGCCCAGCGCAAGAGCAAAAAACAAGCTAAACTGAGGTCCTACATCCATATTTTCAGTTGCAGCTGAGTCATTTTTGTGTTCCCCTCTCTGTCATGTGGATGGAGGACCTCAGTGACAAGAGGAGAATGTGTAGCACTGAGCTAATACATATACGGTGAAAGTGTCTGGATAACGCTAAAGCTAACAGGCTAATCTGAGGTTCTTCTTCCATGAAGCAGCTCTGTTG